TTTTTTACATCTTCTCGTGTGAACTTGATGTATTTATCCACAGAGTTGATGTGGTCAGTAAAATGTTGGACTTCCTGAGATTTAATTTTAACCCAGGTGTCGTCAAAATACCTGAACCAAAGACTTGGTGGTGTCCCTGAAAAGGACGTCAAGGCTCTCTTTTCTACCTCCTCCATGTACAGGTTGGCAACAATAGGAGAAACTGGAGACCCCATAGCACACCCATGTTTCTGCCTATAATATTGCTCCCCATATGTGAAGTAGGTTGACTGCAGGCACAGTTTCAAGAGTTGACACAGTTGTTCTGTGGAAAGCGTGGTCCTGCTGCTCAGAGTGGTGTCTGATTTTAATTTTAAACTGACCACCTCTACTGCATCATCAACAGGAATGCATGTAAAGAGTGATGTGACATCAAAAGAGACCATTGTTTCATCAGTCTCCATGATGACATCCCTCACCTTATCCACAAAGTCCATGGTGTTCTGTATGTGGTGTTCTGAGCTGCCAACTAAAGGGATGAGTACAGACGCCAGATATTTGGAAACATTGTAAGTGACAGAGTTAATCATACTAACAAACAAAACAGCCACTGGCCAAAAGGATGGACCAGCACAGAAGATCAACATCATCAGGCCAGGACTCTGCGGTCTACTCTCATCTCCAGGCCAGCGGTCACTCTTTCAGGGATGAAGATGTTCACATCCTGGACAGAGAGGAACGATGGTTTGAGAGAGGAGTAAAGAAGGCCATCTTTGTGAAAAGAAACCGTCCATCATTAAACAGGGGTGGAGGCCTCCGGGTTCAACTGTCCCCCTCTTACAATGCTGTGATTGCTAGTATCACTCAGCCCTCTGTGAATAGTACACAGCCATCAGTGTGCTAATGATCCATTGTTAGGCTGATGGTCCTTCTTGAGCATGTGATCAGCTGGTTTTGGTTGTCAGCAGCAAAACTGGTTGATCCACCCTGAGAAGGTGCTATTTAAGAGACTGAGCTGAATACAGCACCTCAGACTGAGGAAGTCTCTCGGATGAGAGACGAAACGTTTCTACATTTTTTTGTTGATTTGCTTTGTTTTGTTTTTTTGAATGTCCAGAGGACCAGATTTAACTTTTTTAGACTTGTTAACTTTACTTTTTCCAGGTCAACATATGTTGGTCACCAATGTACATGCATGAAATTTAACAATAAAATATGGGCCAGTCATTTGATGGTTGCGATCAAACGTCTTGATGGTGTCTTGATTCTTGGTCAACGATACACAAACATCTGCATGACTTGTTGGTGAGTTTAAACGCAGTAGTCTGTATTTTCACCTTGGCAGCTTTTTGTCTTTCTACTACCTCAACGTTAAGATATGAAACCTTTTTGAAGAGCTTGATGTTTTCGTCATGATTTGGTCTGTTCCTGTTGCAGGTTGCCGTGGTCAAAGTGAGAAACACTGACAAAGTGTTCGCTATGAAGATCCTCAACAAGTGGGAGATGCTCAAGCGAGCTGAGGTCAGTATCCCTTCAAGATTTATTTTTATTAAATAGGGACTTGTAGCAGGAAAAGTAAAACTCATTTATTTGTTGTCATTATAATCTAATGTTGATAGCTTGAAAAACATGTTCCTGCCTGAGCTAGTTGTTGATGCATGTTCCTATTTTTTCCTGACAGTTTGACATTCCTGTTGGTCTCCTGAGTCTTTGATCATTACGGGTCATACGGCACAAAGCAGAACTTTTTTCCTATTTTGGTGCAAACTCCTGTACAAGAGAAACTGTAGAGCAACAAGATTCACATTAGACGGTTTTCTCTGCGTGTCAGTGTGGCCTTTTGTTTCTTGGGCACAGTTTTCGTCAGTTTCAGCAGATGAACTATAACACGAGCGTTATCGGGGCATGTTTGAGTTCTAGTTTTTGACAAAGTTGGCATAAACACTTGAAATCTAACAATTAGATCAACCTTCAGACCATCAGATCTATAATTTCAGCCGTAGTGTGAATTTTTTTGCTGTTATAGCACAGTTTGATTGTTGATGGTTTTATTGTTTTTAACTAAGGGCGGCTGTGGCTGAGTGGTTAGAGCAGTCGTCCTCCAATGCGAGAGTTGGGGGTTTGAATCCACCAGCAGTCACATGCCGAAGTGTCCCTGGGCAAGACACTGAACCCTTCACTGCCTCTGATGTGTGTCCCATCAGTGTATGAATGTGATAAATCACTGATTAGTCTCTTTAGAATGATTTGTTCAATTATCTTTGTAGAGATCTAGTATAGAGCTGTATGAATGGATAAATGAGGACACAGATTGTTGTAAAGCGCTTTGAGTGTCTTGAAATAAGATAGAAAGGTGTTGTATAAGTACAGTCCATTTACCATTTACCATAACTATTTTACTGTGGGATGTAAAAACACTCAAATGTTTGGCATTCTCTCTATTTTGTTGCCTTAGCACCTGGAATTCAAAATGTATTTTTTGGGTTTAATCTTTTAATGTATGCAGCATATTTACCACTTGGAACAGGCAAGTATTTGTTATGCACATCTAATCAGTGGAGTTTTTGCCCGTTGGTCATTCAACTCCTTAAAGTTGGAATGAAACTGCCTGTGCGCAAAAATATTTAAATCAAACCAGGTTTCCCTCAAGGATGTGCCCATACCTTGCTCCATCCAGCTGTCCTTCAGCTCAGACCTGTTTCCAAGTCCCTGCAGATGGGGTGGGGATGGGGGGGTTCCACATCATGATGCTGCCACCACCATACCATGCTTCACTGTGGGGATGGTGTTCTTGGTGTGATGGGAGGTGACACGTTTGTGACAGACATGCTTCCGTGATGGACAAAAAGTTTCCCATGTCTGATACACCCCCCTCCACCTCCGCACACAAACTGATTTTCTTATTGGGACACTATATAAAGACTCCTTACAATAAAACAACCTTCTCTTTAATGTAAACACGGTCATGTCAACTTTTATACGGAGAAGTCTTGACCCTTGAAGGTCATGGTTTGTACCCGTGGTGACATCAGTTTGGTCCCCATGTCAACAGGAAGTCCCCAGGTGTACTCTTGGGTTTGACCTTTAAAGTTCCATCAAGGGTGAATTTGTGTTTATTCTCACAGACTGCATGTTTTCGGGAGGAGCGGGATGTTTTGGTCAACGGGGACTGTCAGTGGATCACCACCCTGCACTACGCGTTCCAGGACGACAATAATCTGGTAACAATCTCTTATAAACTACTTTTGTTTGTATTTTAGAGCTGACAGCCGCATGTTCAAATGGACCACATAGCAGTTTTGTTTTCCGTCGCACAAAGAAAGAAGACCTTTTCTCCAGATTAGATGAGTAGGTTTATTTGTTAATACATAATTATTGAATAGTTCTGCAGAATACTGCACCTACTGTAACACACATAATCTCCTTAAAACAGATTGTACTGAAATGTTAACATTATACATCTGATGTGTGCAAAGACCAGAATACATCTCTTGGCTATAGAGATGACTGCTCAGCTGGAGTGACCTTCATACTGTTCTCTGAGCAGCACAGGAAGTGGACTGTACGTCAAAGGGTGCACAGGAGTTAGTAAATGTTCCCTCATGGGTGTGGGGCGAGGTGCTGTCCAACTGCATGACACCTCTTACCTTCTTAATCCAGGAGCTGGTGTCTCCTGTTGAGCTGCTAAACACTGACCATGTTTCTTCCTGTGTGCAGCTCCAACAAAAGGCTCCTGCATTGCTTGTATACTCATGTTATTTACTGTTTCCATTATTTTCTTTTTTTTGCAATCATCTATTTTCACATTGTTTTTACTGGGGTCCAATAGCTGCCATTAGTGAAGCCTTGAAAACAGAGCAAATGATGCTGGGTTGGATTTTTCTTTTTCCGTGATGCAGCAAAGTGTTGCAGTATGACTTGGAGTGAATTGTCCCTGGTTGACCCTTTGAGTCGTGCACTGTGGCTGTTGTTCATGTGCACAGTGTTGTGTTGATATGTCGTGCAGCTTTAAAGGCCCTGCAGACTCTGTCTGAAGATGAACAGTCGACTCGCGGTCACGTGGGTGCTGGACGTTGGTTTTCACACATATTTCAGTGCATGTCACGGCGCAGGTTTCTTCCTGCCAGTGTCTCCACTCCGTCCCTGCGTCTGCCGTTTGGCCACAAACCTGTCATGAAGAGAGCGCCACACTTTTCAGCAGAAGTTCTCTTCCATACACGGTCTGCGCAGTCTCCATCCAGAGGTTTTTGGCCATTTGACTATTCTGAAGAGTTGTAAAAATAAAAGTCGGAGCGCTTTTCCGCTGTAACAAAAACAAGCCCACAAAATTTTGATCCATCGCACAGTAATTTGTTCATATTCCTGTGAAAACGGCCTCATGTCGACAAGAGGTGGGCAAAGCTTCTGAGAACAAAATGAAATGATTTTGGTCACTGTGACAATGAGAGCCCATTTAGTTGCTTTGGATGGAGTATGCAGGGCCCCTTACTGTCTGTGGAACTGTCCTCTGTCGTCTTTTTCTGTTTGCAGCTGTGCCACTTCTGCTGTGCTACCCTTTGGGTTGTCTTCGAGCGCAGTACCACCTTCACATAGCTAAAGGAAACTCCCAGACACAAAGTAGCACGTTGGTTCTTTACCACGGAGCACTACAGCATTTTCAATTGTTGAAATTTGGTCAGCCCAAGTCTGGAGTTCTAAGAAAGTCTCATAAATCTTAATAATAAAAAGCATGTAGAATTAGTCAGCCAAACTGTCTCAGTTTAAGTGACTGCTGTAAGCGATCATTCATCCTTTACCCTGGCAGGTTGTCCTCTCCATGTGACCCTGAGTTCAAATATTTCAACTGCTTGTCATTCCATTTCCTACATTCTCACAACACATGCACGGCACTCCCCAAGGCTTCAGAAATACACACCACTGTCTGTTCTTTTATTTTTAGACAAACCATTAAAAGTGAAACTGTTTAGCAGCTAGCTCTGGTTTTGTTGGTATTGTAATAAAATAAAAAATTAAAATCCCCTAAACAAGTCAGTTTATTTTTGCACATTAATTCTTTGTTTTTGTTGGTTTTGCACCTTTAACCACCAGTGATTTAAGTTCTGTCTCTTCTCTAGTACCTGGTCATGGACTACTATGTGGGTGGGGACCTCCTGACATTGCTCAGTAAGTTTGAGGACCGGCTGCCGGAGGAGATGGCCAAGTTCTACCTGGCTGAGATGGTCCTGGCCATTGACTCCGTTCACCAGCTCCACTACGTCCACAGGTGAGGCCTTAGGCCGATGTGCATGTGCGTTTAAGCCAGTGAATGTCTGTAATAGGTTGTGGGGCAAGAAGTTGATGGGTGTTTGGTGTATTCACACTAGTCCTGCAGCAAGATAACAGCTGTAAGAGGCACAGCAACTAAAACAAGCTGAATAAGAAGTGTGGAGAGTGTGCATATTTATCTTTAATCACTGTTGAAAATGCTCAACCAAGTATACAAATGAGTATAATCATTTAGTCCAACACCTCAGACTAGTACTACAGTATTCTGCTCTTTTCCACAGTTTGATACATATATTTTAAAACCCACCTTTGTTTATTCAACACTACAGTAGTCCCTCGATTATTGCTGGGGTTGCGTTCCAGACACCACCACGATAGGTGAAAAAACGCCAAGTAGGAATGCTATATTTATTTTATTATTTATGTATATTTTAAGGCTTTATAACCCCTTCCCACACTCTTGCAATGTTCTTAACAATGTTCCAAGCTCTTAAATCTACACATGGTTAACAACATATGTATATGTACTGTACAGTACTGCAAAATGTTATATGGGTGCTCACCAGTCAAGATACTACAACTCGAAGGATGAGTTCAGCTTCAGGATTACTGGAGACTTTCCTGCCAGTTCTGTGAGCTTAATAGACAGATCGTTACTTCTGACTTTCTGTTGTAAAACTATTTTTACCCCCTCAGTTTCTCTGCTAGTGTTTGCTTCTTCCGTTGCCTTTCTTTGTATTTCAGCAGAAAGCAGTGGCCGGAAACACTGTTGGCTTCTGGTCCGTCATGTGTAGTTCTATTGACTTGCATTACACTGCAGGCTTATTGAAAGAAAACTACAAAATGGTGGCACCTGTCCGAAGTATAATTATTTCTTGGTTTCATTTTTTGTCTTATTGGTTGGTTCCCTCTCCCGTCCGCTCCCGTTAACTTTTTATCCCGTACCGTTCCAATCTCATGAGTAATATTAAAGTTGACAATCCTGTGTCGTGTTCAATCTTTGTTAAAAACGCGTGAAAGAGTGAGTCTGTGAACGTCGAACTGCGAAGTATCGAGGAACTACTGTATAGTCTAATGCAGTAGCTTTTAGAGAACCTGAGCAGTCTGGATGGTGATGAGCTGTCACACTGAATGTTAGAGCATTGCAGGCAGACCTGGCCCAGGTCTGGCCTTAGGCTGGATTAGTTGTTAGTTAGTGATTAGTTAACCCTGCCATGTTATTGTGATTTGTTAGTTATCAGTTAACTGCTGTCCTTACAGCAGATTTATGCGTTGACCAGGTTAGTTTTCTGTTGCGATGACACCATGAGATACCTGGTCAGACTTATGGCTCCTTCACACTGAACTGATCTCGCTACACTCCCAAAAAACTAAAATATATTCAAATGCGGATGGTTTGTGGCAAATTTGGACAACCTATTTCAGTCATGATGCTGCTATAAAACATGTCCTGTCTTGAGTCTTGCTCAGTCCTGTCTTGAGTCTTGCTCAGTCCTGTTGCGGCTCTCTTGGACTGCATCAGGACTCGGCTACAGAAGTCACATCTGCGTTAGGTTGTTTTTCCATGTCAGAATCCCGGTTGTAGCCCGTGGATGAGGCCGGTGTGGTCGCTTCAGCTTTAAACTGTTGGTACCTGAGTCATGTCATGAATACACTGGCACCTACACTCTTCACTCAGGACCTCAGTACACTGCCACTGCAGCAAAAAAACACCATTAGTATCAGAGTTTTGTGCATGCTCAAATGCATCATAGACCAATCAAGAATGATCATGTGTACTTTATTTATTAGCATTTGAAGTAGATGTCTGAAGACCTCATTAAAACCCTACAAAGGCCATCTGTGTTCTGGATATTGCTTTACGGGGTCTGCAGGATAGACCGGGTCAGCGTTAGGCTGGATTAGTGGAGTGGCTACTTTCTGCAGCCACACTTTATACTCCATGAAAAACTGCAGTACAGAACTCCAAGGAAGCTCCTCCCCCTTCCTGATAGTTCCAGAACCAAGTTCGTCCAACTGGGGACTCCACTCTTCGGCCCCTGCACAGATTGTTGCTTCCCTTGCTGCTACCAGACATTTTTATTTTACAGATGAGACGGTACGCATCCTTTAGCATTTGCAAAGTTCTTGAAAAGAGACATGCACTAGTTCTGACAGACTGTGCTCTAAGAGCAAATGAGGCACACTAGTTTGTTCAAAGACACCGTCTTTGTCTTGCAACTATGTCAACAAGAGCAGATTTCTTCCCTTCTTGCAGTTTGAGTCTAGCTTTAGAGTGAAGGGTTTACAATCTACCTTAAAGATATTTGTACATTTTCCCTGAAATGCAACAAGTGATATAAATTTAAGGGAAAACTCTTTCAGCTCAAAGTGGTGCAGCCTTCCTGCTGCTGCTTCACTTTTTATACATCTGTTGAAAGGCGAACATTTTATGGTATAGTCTCCGTCCTTACGTAAATATTCTCTAACTTATCAAAGTTTCAAATACATATGCATCATCACTAGACGGAGCGTCTCAAACACTTTTCTACACCCCTTCTCCAAGGTCAAGTCCACAAATCAAGGTCAAAGTTTAAACCAAGTATTTGCCTGACCAGACCATAACTTTTATCTGCTCAAGGCAATTTAACAAAACTTGGTACAACTTTGTACCACCACTACACATCATGCCACATAAAATTTCCATCACCCCAGCTCTATGGTCAAGGTCACAAATTAAGGTCAACGATAAAACAAGGCCTATGCTTGTCCGGGTCCCTGCTATAGATCATTGTATAATAGTTTGTCAGGTGTATAATGGGCCGTATACGGTATACTTGCTTGATACTGAAGTCCTCAAAGTTCTGTCAGGGTTCAAGTTTACTGTCACTCACATCACATGTGGGACATGAGGTGGAACGAAATTATGTACTCAGGGTCCCAGTTGCACCCAAAAATAGCAAAAATATAAAGTATAAAAAGAAACGGTACCTTATTTTTCAGCCTATAATTCACAGGTTTTTGCATAATTTGCATACCCTGCGACTTATATGCCAAAGCAACATATTTATGGATTTTTTCCCCATATTTATAAACCAATTTTTGGCTGAGATATGACCATTTTCATTCATTCTGACTGAAAATATTGTAAACTACCTTAGGATGAGTAGTACGAGTAGTATGACATGCTATTGTGTCTTGTAATAGGTGAAAGTGGCTGTTACTGACACAATCGGCCTTCTACCTTCGTCCAGCTTGCTTGGAGCAACCGTCATCAGCTTCATTTTGCTGCACCACCCCGGAGAAATGCAGCTAATTTGACCATTGAAGTGCATTTATTAAGTAAAAGTTCGACTGAGACTTGGGCTTTAACAGACTACTCGAGTAATCGACAGGTCGATTCCTAGGACATCTATTGAGTTTTTAAATTTCACGTTGAGTATTCGCAGTGACGTCATTGTGTCACGTGATCCGCAATGGGCAACTAGTAGAAGCTACCAAATGGATTCCTCCCAGCAGATGGACTGAACGGAGCAGGCCCAGTCTTGGCAAACAGGTAGAAATGCATCAGTAGTTTGGAAATATTTCACTAAAGATGAATCTTCTGGTTCAACTACCGTAAGGAAACAGAAAATGAATCAACTTCCTGACTGTTTGGAGCTCGTTGTGAACCGGTGTTGCACCATATTCTGTGACCACCGTATATTGTGACTGTAGGGGGCGGTGTTGCATGCACTGTTGCAGGTCACAGAATATGGTGTAACACCGGGTCCAATTGACCGAACCAGAACCAGCTTCCTTCTGACCTTGTTTCACAAACTAAACGAAAAAAATATTAATCTCTAAACAACAAAGTCCATGCTCAATAATCCAGGTATACAATCCAACATTTTTCATTCAGGTCATCTGGACTGTTTCTTTTTTTTTGTGTGTGTGTTGAAACGTTTCCCCTTCGATCCAGAAGGCTTCATCAGTCAAGGAAACGCACAACAAAACTGATTTTCCCACCAACAGCTTACTCCAAAGTGGAACAAGCAGAACTGGTTTGTTCCAATAAATTACGTTTTTTGCGGTTTTATTTATTTATTTATTTTTTCATCTGCAGATCCTATGGCGTCATCAACAACTCGAGTTCTACTCGAGTTTTATTATGTTAATGTCGAGTTTAAAAATTATGTAGTCGTTCAACCCCTAACTGAGACACACCTTTACTATAATGTCGAACAAACAAATAATTGTTTTTAGATGGTTATCTTGTTAAATTTAGAAGAAATGCACAGCGACTTGTCCCTCTGCGCGCTCCCGCTTCCGTGGACCGGGTTTTGAAATGCAGCTGATTTGACCGTCAAAGTGCATTTATTAAGCAAAAATTAGCCTGAAACACACCTTTATTATAATTTTGAGCAAACAAATAATTGTTTTTAAGTGTTAATCATGTTAAATTATTGTTAAACACCTCCCGTGCATGCTCCTGTAGCTGCTAGGAATGTACGATATGGCATAAAATTCAAATCACGATATGTATTGTGAAGGGTGGCGATAACGATATATATCGCGTTATGTTTTGGGTATAAAACTTAATAGGAATTTTTTTAAAAGCATAGGATGTTCTTTTGCATTCATATATTTTGAATTAAGAAAATTCCACTACTAGGTCCAGAGAGTTTTTAAATAATAAACAAATCAAGTATTAGGCTTCTTGCTTGTAGTGCAAAACAGTGAAAATATATCAAATGTAGGTTTAGCCGCATGTTTTAAACAAAATAATATGTTGTTAACTCTTAACAGTTTCCAGTCTTAAGAAATGAACAGCAACAGAGCAGCATTTTACACTGAAACACTTCACCCTCCAAACCTCTAGTGGGCGACTCCTTCCGCTTTAAGGAGAGCTGACACAAAATGAGTCTGTGGCTTTGACCAGAGGGTCTCGCAGTAAAATCACACAATACAGCGTTCTTATCACAGATCAGAGAGCAGCTTTCTCTAAAGCTGACCAACACTTACTTTAACTTTCGATGG